TGTTGTTAACATTTTTTTTTCATTCGGTTTTTCCAGTTACGGGTCCTTTTTTAAAGCTGATCGTTTTGTGTTCATTTTGTTTAGTTCTTTTTTCGTAACAGATTTAATGTTTAGTATAGAGCTTAGAAAAAATTCGCAGTGTGAGACAAGCAAGAAGTAAGGCACGTAGCAACATCAGCACGGAAAAGGGAACTCCTTTAAAGGCAAGGAAGGGAAAAAATATTTTAAGTCAAGTGATAGCGATTGCCTTATGAGTCGTACGATTTTTGAATCAAGCACGGGCAACGCCGGGCCATGCTGCTAGTATGTATATAAAGAAGAAGACAGTGGAAACTACGGATTAAAATAATTACTCTAGTTTGGCCATATACCAAACTAAGTCATGCGTAGTAAATATCTATTTACACATCAGTTTGCCAAACATTTTTTTAATAAAATTCCTGTTTGCATTTCCCCATTTAACCGCAAAATATCTCAAGTTTACCGAAAATCTCCCAACCATCCCGCAAAAAACACTGTTTTCTGTTTTTAAAAAATAAACGCAAATTCTTACCTTCTTTTCCTAGGCAATTTTTCCTTCTTTTATCTGGACTTGTTTTTTTATTTATGTCTTTTTTATTATTTTATTTTTTTCTTCTTCAAATAAACATGCAATGTGATTAAAATATGTAAACTACATCAACTAATATAAAAGGCGACTCCTGCCGGCGGCGAGGATTATTAACATGTTTATCACGATTTTATACCACGCGTCTGGATAACGTGATAGAATCTACCAATTTGTGTCTGCTTCGTATTCTTTGCTTCAATGTCCTCAGGGTCTAAGGACAACATTTATAGAAAGATGAACGCTAATCCTTCACTCGAAATTCAGTTACAGGATATATTAAATAGCAATTTGATCATAAAGGTACGATTATTTTGTGTAAAGTATTCTTTTAAATTCATAAACGATACATGTATAGCACTTCCAATGATTTAACAACTGTGCTACATTTTCATTTTGTTATTGGAAACTGCTTTTTTAACATCGTTTGATTGAAATTTATCATACGGTCAAAGTATTGAAGTTTATAACTGAACAAAAATAAATAAAGTAATCTAACACAGAAAATGAAGCATTAACAGACTTTATAAAGTGCCAAACAGTAAACCTAGAAAGCGTACCTATGTAGATACGAGTGATCAAGAACAGCAATCGACAGAGAACTGTACAAACGACTGATATACAGAATGACTGAAAAGTAACTCGCTATTTTATGTATGAGTGGCTAGACAGGAGTCCTAAATTAACACCCTGTAACATTTTTTGTTTGGGGTTGGTTAAAGGAGACAGTCTATTATACCAAACCAAAACTATAGAAGAACTTGGAGGGCGACTACAAGAAGATATGTCTTCCATACCCCAAGAGTTCCTGGTGAAATCAGTTGAAACTGGTAATGAAATATGGTGCTCATATCGAATTTTAAATAAAACCTCACGTTAAACTCTTTCCTCTCATATCTATTTCTCGTAAAAATTATAGTTAATAAATAAATTATAAGTATTTTAAAACGGGGAGTTACTTTTCAACCACACTGTATATTAAAATGTAGATAAATGGTAAGTTTTTAGAAAGGGGCACAAAGTAAACCTATAAACCATATTCATGTAGGTATGACACAACGGGAACAGTAATCCACGGAGAACTGTGCAAACAACAAAATATTATTATGCAGATAAATGGTAAGTGAAATTAAAAAAAAAGTAGACGAAAGAAATCAGCAAGTCAGAAACGAAGTCAATCAAATTATATAAGGGACCGAAAGAAGGACACAAAATTTTAAGAAAAAATAAGCCCAGATACACACACACACACACACACACACACATATATATATATATATATATATATATATATATATATATATATATATAAAACACCAGTATTTAGTCAAATACGTCTTGCTTACTATGTAGATAACATACAGTGACTGTAAAACTTATTCATAAATTCAATACCGATGTACAGCACATCATTCGGAAATTGTAAATATATAATAAAAAGTTGAATAGACATATAGACACACTTTGTCGGTAGAATTTAATAAAACTAACTTTTCTAAATGAATTCTTGCGACATAAACACAACTATATATATATATATATATATATATATATATATATATATATATATATATATATATATATATATATATATATATATATATATATATATATATATATATATATATATATATATATATATATATATATATATATATATATTCAGTTATATATTAGTGTAAAATGTTCAATATCAGTTTTAACATATTCATCAGATGGATATGAGTTTGCAACCCGGGAAACCCACTTTCACAAATCATATGACAATGAATGATATAAAAACGTGAAAAGGGTTACAAACTCATATGCTTGCTAGATGAATGTATATATATAATGAGTTCAATGGTTAGAAACTTGTCTTGCTAGATCAATTACGACTTTGTGAGTTCATCTCAGCCGGGTAGAAAATCACTGTATATATACTTTGCAAAATTGGCCTTGTACCAAAATTGTCCAATTATTAGATTAAAATTTGAACCGTTATATTTCATGTCATTTCTAATGATTAAAGATATCTTACTGGAATTTCTAAAATGAAATGATGATCCATCTTCATGTTGTGACCTCATGACTCAGTTTTCCTGTTTACAGTTCCTTCTTTTTTAAACTTATTCACCGTTCTCTTGATGGTTCTTAAATGGACTTTGAAATGGAAGCCAAAGTATAAATGTTGGTACCATTATTGAAGGCCTGAATGTCATTTTTTCTCTCAGTGTTCCTCAGTTGAGAAGACAGTGGTGCTGACGCAAAACTATTTTAATCTGTTCTCTTTTTAGCTGAATAACTCAAAGAGTTTTTCAGTGAATCTTACGACAGATGGTGTCAAGATGGCTAAACTTCTTATCTGAAAACCTGGAAAAAAGAAACTCAATTAGTTTAGTGTATTTTTTTTAGATATTAAACATTTTGTGGTATGAACAATTATCCGATTCTGTAACACGATTTGAACAATTTTGCTGTTACAAAACATGTCTCATTAAATAATTTAGACAAGTTTTTTCTACTTATTTTTAATAGGATCCTCTTGTAATTAGGGACAAGATTCTTAGTATTCTCATTAAAGGAAGAAAGAAAATTACCATGTTGATGCATATTCATTTTATTCCGAGTACTTTCGACATTAACACAATGCCGTCATCAGAGTCTTGTTTTTTTAAGAGTTGTTGAGTTCATTATTTTTCTAAAACAAAATTGCTGTATTCATCTGAAACTTTTTCGTCTGAAGTGAAAAATGCTATAGTTACGTACTATACAATTTTTAAATTTTATCATGTAGACACACGAACAAACGTCAAGGGAGGTAACTAAGTTACTGAAATGTCTAAATACTTAAAAAAAGGCTTTTTAAAACAATTAGTTAAAACCTGGATATTTTAAACTATCTACTATAAACATTTTAAAACATTTGTGTAGGGTTCATAATTAATTTTATTAAGGGTTGGTTTCAATTTTTTAATATAGATATCTTCAAGAATTTTTAGTTTATGTTTATTATTTTCATGAAAAGTATAGATGCATCTTCAACAAGAATTTCCCTAAATTGCGAATGTAGACAGGCATGCTATTGTAAATGTTGAGAGATGTTAGATGCATCATTTAAATGAAAACGCAACCTCGTAGCAGTGGTATGGCCAACATATATATTCTTTGTTCTGTTGAATATACAATCTCCCAAGGGACATTTTAATTTATATATATTGTTGGTTTTCTGCAACACGTTAGTTGGTGGAGAGGAGTCATTACAAATGATTAATTTAGATATATTGAATTTAGTACAGTATATAATTAATTTTATTTTTTTTACTGTGGTGGATATATTAGTATTTATTAGTTGTTGTTTTTTTTTAGAATATTTTCGTCCTGTTTATAATTATAATGTATTTGATTGCGATTTAAAAGATTAATATATTTAGGGTTAATTAAATATGTATTATATTCTATTTGCTTTATATTAAATTTTCTAATAGAACATCTTATTTGTTCATCAACAGTATAATTAGGGAAGTTATTATTAATAGGGGTCTATTTTATATTTTTTTAGTTCACTGTAGAAAATCTGTTTTGTGGATGAATTAATTTTTGCACAATTTATTAGGGTTTTTATAATTGCTATTTTATAGTAATTTGGACATTCACTCTTATAATTAAGAGTGCACAAATTTATTCTATAGGTTTTTTATTTGGGGAGATAATCAGTTTATTATTATTAGTGTTTATTAATATATCTAGAAAAGAATTTCATTACTATTATTAAGTTCGTATGTAAATTTAAGGACAGAATTATTTTGGGATTGTTTTTGGAGTTAATCATATACTTACGAGAGGATCCTATTAAAAATAAGTGGACAAAACTTGTCTAAATTATTTAATGAAACATGTCATAATGAAAACATGCTGGCAAAATATACGCAATATATATATATATATATATATATATATATATATATATATATATATATATATAATAATTTCAATAGATTTATCGAACATCTGGCCCTGAAGAGCGTTTTGGCGCAAAACTTCGAGCGGTCAATTAAGACAAGTCAATTGAACTTTATTGATTCATTGAATATATATAAGCAGTAAGGGATTGTAGGAGATACATCGATGTATGAGATTTCTTACATACCGACATGGCATCCACCGACGCATGAAGATGCGATATATATCTATATATATATATATATATTTATACTATATTTATATATATATATATATATATATATATATATATATATATAATGTGAGAATGAGACTGGGACAGAGATAGGCACCATTGCTTGATTACTGATGTAGTTGCGTATTTTACAATATCACCGAGGTGTTCGAATGTCGATTATCAATGCAAGTAGACTTTTTCATTACGATGACTGGTGCAGCACAATCTTCTTACTTCAATTTCACTCCTTTATTAGATTGAATGAATCTCATAGATAGGTAGAGATGCGAACAAACTGGAATAAATAGATAGATATGAACAGAATGAAATAGATAGATAGATAGATAGATAGATAGATAGATAGATAGATATGAACAGAATGGAATAGATAGATAGATAGATAGATAGATAGATAGATAGATAGATAGATAGATAGATAGATCTGATGAAAAATGAAGGTAAGAAGAAATAAACGATAGGCATAAAGATTGAAGGAAATAAATGACAATTGTAAAGAAAGGAAAGAAGAAAATGATAAGAAAGGCAAAAATCTAAAAAATTCAGTGTTTCAAATAAAGTAACATGTTTTCACTCCGAGGGAAATACGCCTCAAAATAAATATGCAGAAAGGTTCGCCTACGCTTGCCTATTCCACAAAGCGAGTGACAACATAAAAGTGACCTGCATACGTAAGAGCATTTTTAGAATGCATTCTTTTCTCTTTGCTTCATTTGTCCACTTAGAGGTATGGGGAGTGTTTAGCGCTCTTCCGACCTAGAAAGAATTCCTCAGATCGTTGTGTAATCGAAGTCGGTCAGTATGCAAGCACAAGAAAAGAGTAATATAATAGGCCTCAGCATTAGTCACAATGTTCAAATGTGTGGATCGTGTAAGCGAAAAGGTAATCATATCAAAAATAGGGGGACACGTTCAAGGCAGATGTTATGGGCAAAGCACAACCTTCATGGAACACAAAACTCCAGTCCTGAGCTAGCTAGCTGACTAGATAGATAGATACGAAGAGACTGCAATATATATATATATATATATATATATATATATATATACGGTCAGATTAGAATAGACAATAATTTCCGATAACTTCAATAAAATCTTATAATCATTTAAAAGGTTATCTATTTATTTCATTATCACCTTCAACTTTATAATGTTTATTGCACAGCGCAGAGTAAGCGTTATCCAGACCAAGTGGGAAGGGAATGTATTGTTCCAATGTCAAATTGTGTGTGTGTTTGTGTACATGTGCTTCTGTGAAGATTAAATGGCACAAGAACATGTCAGTCACTCACGCACAACACATACATACATACATCATGCAATGTTGCACACAGACAGTTGTTGACAGACAGAGAATCAGTTCTTTTATAAGATCGATATATTTTTAAATATTGCAATGAACGATTTTACAAGTACAAAACTCACCCTAAAGTATGTGGACAATTCATACTCCCCCGGTTTCATCTGGGGTAGTTTGAAATTAATGGGCATCTTCCAGGCATTACCTCTTCTTCGGGTGGGTGCTAGGGTCATTACCCGCCGCCTGAGGCGTCCCCAAAAAGCGAAAGTGTCGATGGGCTTCAGTAATTTTTTCACGGTATTGCCATTAAACCCACTTTAAACCTCGATCTTGTGTTACATTCAGTAGCGACGTGGGTGAGCTGAGAATCCCAATATGTGGAACAATATCTTCAACATATCCTATGAAAGTTGAATTTTCCATTCCCTTTTTCCTCATTAAATACCCTAGAAATTTTTTACTATCATAATAACCCAATTTCTGTGTGTTTATTATCGTAACCCATCGAAAACGTCTTTTCTCTATGTTAGGATGACTTCCTGCTGCCTAAATACACCTTATATAAATATGTATATTATCGATTCTCACGTCGAATTTGAGGTATGAGGGTCAAGCAGATCAGTTCCAAGGAACCGACAGCCCAACACCAGCACATGAGATTTGATTATAGTAGTGAAGGTTTTGTGCAGGACCATCCACGCTTTTTGAAGGGTCAAATACAGTGACCTGGCGCATTACGTGCCACAAGGTCTCCAAACGACCCACCGAAGGTTTTGAATTCAGAGTTGTCCTTCTGCTAGACCAGTCCAAGGCTATAGAATCCAGTCTGTCCTGCTATTTACCCATAAATAGGGAGGGAGGGAGAAGAAAATTCATACCTTTCCCAAGGGTATTAGTACGTAAGTGAATGTAATGGCTTTCCGATTACTCAATTCAAGCCGTTATCCATTACTCCACCGTGCCTCCATATATATATTTATATATATGTGTGTGTGTGTGTGTGTTTTGCGTGTGTGTGTGTGTGTGTGTGTGTGTGTGTGTGTATATACATATACATATATAGATAACTATTTGCTGATAATATCGAGATTATGGTGGACACGCAATATTTAATTTTAAGTATCACGAGATTCTTGACAAAATACAAAGAAGGTTCCGTAATGTTATTGGTCCTAACCTGGCATCTCGACTTCAGTTACTTCGCCATGACGTTGATTCACTTTGCTTTTTCTATAAATATTTTCATAACAATTTTTCTAATGATCTCCCCGCCTTGGTACCTCGACCGCATGAAATTAAGCATACTACTAGATTGTCAACTTTTACTATTGAAATAGCTAGATGTTACTGCAAGTTATATTCTAACAGATTCTTATCCGTGGAACTCTCTTCTGATTCCTTGCTTTCCTGTCACCTCTGATCTTCAAAAAATTAAATGCAATGTCAATCGCCATCTTCCCTCTTCCTTTTAGTGTCCTTTCTCTTCACTAAAGTCTTATTCTCTTTCACTTTGTGATCCCTGGCGTCTTAGTGGCATTATCGCCTTGCTTAGGGTGAAAGGACTAAAAAAAATCATTTGAATGAAAAGTTACAAATTCCAACGTCTTCAACGTGTAAGTAAAGACAATGTAACAATGTAACAATATTAAGCGGGGCAGTTTCTGATATTGTCTATTTTATTTACATCCAATATTAAGCAATCTTTTCCCTATTTTTTTCTATATGTCACACTGAGTCTCTAATTAGAGTGTAATTACTTTGTAATACAATATAATATGCCAAATTTCGATAGTACTTAATTTAGCTTAGACCGGGAACCGATATATGATACTGAAAATTCTACTTGTCGACCAAGCTTTTGAATTAAATCTTCTTAGGCACCTATTTTCGTTCATTTTTCAACATTTCTGCCTACGATTAAAACATCTGAATACACTACCCGACACTTTTTCCTGTGATCAGTTTTCTATTTGTAAGCTTTTTGAAAGGGTTCGCAAATAAACACAATGAACACACATGCATATATATATATATATATATATATATATATATATATATATATATATATATATAACTATCTTCCTGTTCATTTCCATGTTACAACAGAATTGAAAAAACAGAGATACGAGAGAGGAGGAAAGTAAGAATGTAGGCGAGAAAGCTATAGGAAAACGAAAATAAAAGTGAGTCAAAAGAGAGGATTTTATACGAAAAAGAGAGAGAGATAAGCTTGATGTCTTTAGTTTGATTACTCCTTTACACCTTTGATATTTTAAAGTGGGTGAAACTATTTTTTTTTCTTTTGGAGCTTGACACACACCTTACGTATGAAGATAGACTTATTTTTTTTATTGTGAGAATATTTAATTAACTTTAAAGTAATTACTCTCCTTGGCGTTAATAAATAATGTGTCCATACATTTTTGAAAGGGGTCGACTTGTATCGAACTGTTCCAAATTGATTCTTATAACTATAATGCATCATGGTTCTCGCTGAAGAAGAGTAATTTAACCTGTTAAAATAGGGGGTTATTCAAATATTTACTGCCTTTATCTTTAAACTTAAATTTAAAAAAACTTATTCATTATTATGAAAGTGTTTAATTAATTCTTTCGGTAAGAACCAGACATTCTACTAGTAAAAGAGTATATGCATTTTAAGGAATTTACTGCATATAACAAAATTATCCTAAAACTGATTTTTTTATCAACGACTAATCATAATTAAAATAATGTAAGGTATTGAGTGTCTCCAGTTGGGATGATGTGTTACCTGGGTAAATGATATTTCACAGCATTTAAGATGCAAGTAACAAGGAAAATTTACAGCTCCATAGACGTAGAATGAGGGAAAGTTATCCATGCGTTTCAATATTAAAAAGAAAAGCGACATATTGTAGTAGAAATTAGCAATTACATTCAAAACACAAAATTCGTCGCTTGTTTGTCGTGTTACCGACAAAAACTGGTGTTTATGCTCAGCTCTCACCTGTAAATTCCATTTCTGTTAAAAGGTCAGAAGCAGAATATTCAATATGCTGAATATTTCAACTTGGCGAGAAAACATAAAGATTGTTTGTTTTTTGCTTTTGTTTGGTTTCTTTTCTTCCTTTCTTTTTTTTTTCTTTATATTTTTATGCCATAAACAAATAGCATTGTAATGGATGCTAGGAACGCGTGACAGACGTCTTTGTTTATTGTCCCAACCCGATGAAGACAATAAAGTGCTTATAAAAGCCCTTAATTATGAGACAAGCCGACAGTCCGAAACTTATCATCGCTGTTTTGGTTTTTGGATTGAAATGAGCAGAGCGGATAGTAAACAATTGCTTTTTCTTACTCGGCAAACGACTAAAATATATTAGTTATATTTTGCCAATTTGATCTCATCTGTAAGTGTTAAAAAATTCAAGATGAATCCCACAGCACCACGGATGTTGTTTGAGGTTTGCTATGCGACACAAGGTCTTTTTTTTCTAACATGGGAACCCATGAATATTTATGTCTATGTAGGGCGAAAAATTGTTCATTTCCATTAACATTCTGCCCACTGACTCTATTCTACCAAATACGATGGGGAGGTACTGCTTGGGACACGGATCACAAAGAACTGCTCATTAGTGAGTTGTGTCTGTCCGATGCGAAGAAGAGATAAGGCCAGTGGCGAATCACCAGCGGCAATGAGGCGTAACAACCAATAAAGTGTTGAATTTTAAGTTTGATGCTGTCCAAGAAGAATAAGGTGATCTTTGTTCTTCTATTTTAAACTTTTCTTTTTAAATGTTTGTGATCAGGTTTCTGTGTAGAAGAGGGTTGAAAGCACCAATGCATTCCTGGTTAAAAACCGATTTGTAATTCCAGCTGAGTCTGCATATGTTCAGTCTTTCCTGTAATAACTTTTATATAAATTTATTTCTCGCTGCGTTTTCTTCTTTTCGTTTTCTTTTTCGCTAGATATTTTGAAAACAGTTTTGTCAGTGGTATGCTACAAGAGTTTACAGTCAAATCAAAGATTCTTCTTTGCTAACAGTGTCAGGCGACAGTCCTAAATATCTCATGTTGCTCTGAGAAGAGTTGGACGTTGCCAATTAATTACCTCTTTGCCCGAGAGAAATCACATGAACATTCCCGCGCGATATTCCGACAAACTCCTCGATCATATGACCAGGTAAGAAAGATGGCTGCCGTACAGTGTTAAAGATTTTTCTTTATAATACTTTGTAACACAGATAACCACTGACTGAAACTTCATCGCACAGTAGAAAATAATGACTCAAAAAGTCTTATACATATGCGTGTGGCGTGACTGAAGATCCCAAAACTCAGCGTTACTTTTTGAGTAAATCATTTAATTGAAATTGCTAAGAATGGATATAGTAACCATTTTGGGGTTAATTGAAAAGGTAATAATGTGATAGTATATTCAATGAATACTCATTCATCTATTATTTTCTTTGTCTACTATGGAAACATGTTAACGACTCGACCATGGTGGCACTGGAAGAGAACGCAAAGAGAGTTAGATTTATGCCTTTCTCAAGAACATAAATCTGAAAGTGATGTGAGCAGTCCTGGCTGGAACTCCAAGTCACCTCACTTGTATTGTTGTTCGGATTCCTAACTGTTACACACGCCTTACCTAAAAAAAATCAATCAAATTTAGCATTCTTTAAAAGCACCAAGAAGAATAAAAAAAATACAAAGTCCCAAATGGCTGCTTCTCAAAATTTTGTTTATATTCATGTTTGTCGTTTGAAAACATGAAAAACTACTGAGTCCTTACGCTTCGTGCTTCAAATGAGGTATGATAATAGTTCGGAGTTGAGCACCTTTTATTTTGATATAAACCGGTTTAAAGGTTAAGCCATTTGGGTACTTGAGAAAGAGGAAGAGAAGAGGGGAAGAGAAAGGGAGAGAAGAAAGTGATGGCGATAAAGAGAGCGATGAGGGAATGAGAAATTGAGTAGCGAGAGAGAAGGGATGAGTGGGAGGAAGAAAAAAAGAAGAGGGAAGGAAAAGAAAAAGAATTCGGTTCAAAGTCTCATAGAAAATCATAAATATGAGTCTACACAGTATTTAGTTAGACTAATTTGTTAACCCTTACTCCCCAACCTGACAACTCTATTTTAATGTAGATTAGTTTTTATACAAAACCATACGTCATGAGTCCCATGAACGGTGTGGTCTTAAGGTCGCTCGTTTACAGCATGATACTTGCTCAGCCCCTGTATTCAGAGTCGAATGGGATTTCGGGAGATGTTTTAACGTACGGGAGAGATCGGTTAACGAAAAAGAAACCGTCATTAATGAAATATAAATTAAATGCTTTTGTCTTTTTTTGTGTCCTTTGACTGATCGACGGCGAATTCAAGTAGATTCATTTACTAGACTAATTACTTGAACTTTTCAATTGAAATTTATTTTGCTCAACTGAATCTTAAAACCATCCCTGCTAGGAGCCAAAAATACATGGGAAACCATATGCGACCGCACTCGGTAAATATTCAGAATAGCAAAAGAGGAAAAAGAATTAAACAAAAGGATGCCGAAAGCGAATTAGTTCACACCAGGAATAACCGCCTACTCGGTTACCTGGGAATCTTCGACCTTCATTTAAGGTTATGAAAAAGGAAAGGTGCGGGCGCCGGCTTGTGTAATAAATGGAAAGCGATAAGGAACATTTTCTATCTGAGGTTGCAAGATGATGTAAAAATGACATGAAGATTAATGAGCAAACATTTAAAACGTTCAGTTCAATTGTGAAAGTGAAATGGTAGATTATGCAGAAGACACGCATCAACACACACACACACACACACACACACATATATATATATATATATATATATATATATATATATATGGGGTATTAAATTTCCTTTATATATAATTTACTTATATTGCTCTGTAATAAATACATTGAGCTCCCTTTGTGGATCAGTTTTAATATTTTATATTATTAGGGTTCACTTAGATTACTTACCCACGGATTTTTACCAATATATGAATGATAAAATATAGTTTTATGCTATGCTATATTTATGAGCTAAAGTGCTCAATATCAGGAATAGAGCTTAAATATAAACGTTGAGCCAAAACACAGCGCAGATAGCCTGAAGGATTGTGTTTAAGCATGAAACAGATTGTCGCCGCTGGTTGTTTACCTCAATGTCCACTTATATATATATATATATGTGTGTGTGTGTGTGTGTGTGTGTGTGTGTGTGTGTGTGTGTGTGTGTGTGTGTGTGTGTAATTAATAGAAGTAAAACGTTGTCACTTAGCTGATTGATATTAGCTTCAGCATCCTGTCTCCAGAGTTTCGTAGACGGACGCATCCGTCCATTCGTCAGGGTGTATCAGCAATTGACTGCTTATATTTCTCGATTTTTCTTTTTTATATGCACATCATTGGTGAAAAGTTTTTTTTGTTTTCATAGGATATATCTGCGTGTGTATGCGTCGCGCCTGTATATATATATATATATATATATATATATATATATATATATATATATATATATATATAGAGAGAGAGAGAGAGAGAGAGAGAGAGGGAGAGGGAGAGAGAGAAATTGTATACACAAAAAGCATTCGTAGTGCGTCGTTTTCATTCTTGACTTCAGTTGGATCCAAAATTAACTTTTTCAACTCTGTGCCTGAAAATGTTGAGCGAAATACATTTCATTGATATTGTTCTTAATAAAAAAGAAAGAAAGAAGGTAAAAATAGAATTAAGTAAAATTAATGAGGGTATCGGGCTGCGTAGAACTGAGTCCTATCGAAGCAGGAGGCCTAATTAATAGGCAGTGTATTTCTTGCTTTTATTTTATAAATAATCTTTTAAAAATCTCTAATAAATTATATGCTCTGTTTTTCAAAGAACACATTTTTATTTCAATTTATTGTTTTCAATGTCCATTTTAAATAATTTATCCCGTACAGTATAAGGTTTTATAGCGGGATGTATCTTTTGAGTAAGGGCAAATTAAATTTAGCCTGATTTAAATTAGGCGAAAATCAAAGAAATTAGCAGCCTTAACTCGTCGACCGAAGGGTTGGAGTGAGGAGTGTGACTGTGGTAGTGTTGAGGAAATATAATATCAGTCAGTAGTACTGATCATAAGCGTACAATAAATTAAACTAAAAATTCACGGACAAAAGGATACATAAGCACACTGACTCATAGACATATATAAACACAGACTCTACCATAAGTGACTTGATAACAAGGCTATAAAACAATAAAAAATGGAAAGTGGGCAATAAACAGACAAACATATCAAAGACCATTTTAGTCCATTTTTTTATATGTCTGGAATTTTTTTAAAATAAATGTTTATTTATTATTATGTTTTAGTATTAAAATATCAAAATGTGTTGATTTGACTCTGTGTGTGTGTGTGAGAGAGAGAGAGAGTACTTAAAACGGTATTTTTAATGGATACCCTTAATTGAGTAGATGTTCCGTTTATTTTGACAGTATTCAAATAAACTGACCATCTACTCAAACATGGGTATCCACTAAAAATAACGTTTGAAGTAATAAAAATTAAAAATACGTCGGATTAAAAAAAAATAAAATTCATTAATTCGTTAAAAATTTTATATATATATGTGTGTGTGTGTGTGTGTGCGCGCGCGCGCGTGTGTGTGCGCGCGCGTGTGTGTGATGTGCTTTAGCCATCTCGGCTACGAAGAGTATCGTGATTAAGCGAGGTTCTATTTTGCGTTTTAAACACACTTTTCTCGTCCTAGTCATGGAAAGTCCATAACTGTTTTCTACCCGTAACTTAAACAAAGCAGTTTCTAAAGAAGTAGTATGATGATAAACTACATCCAGCAGCAGAGCATCTGATCAGGAGAATGAAGATTTGGGGAGCCAGGAAACACCTCTTAATTGCCGTTGTTCCCAGGCCCACCCTGACCTGAAATGGTAGCACCTGTTAGGGTCCCAGCTATGGGTAAATAGTGAAACTCAAATAAAACACATCTGAAAGTATAAAAATACATTCTTATAGTAAAATACCAGCAATACATTTGTATATAAAAAAAATGACCAACAATACATTTTATACGTAGTTGAAAGTATACAATTGCTTTCATGATATATTTAGTTGAAGCCATAAAATTCTTTTGAAATATTTAGATTTCGAGATTAAGTAACCCATAGCGGTTGATATGCCGTTAAACAAAATCAACCAACCAACCTAAAGTAGTAACGGGTTTTTATTAATACGACATATTTTTTATTACTAAAGGGTGTTTCATTAAGAAGGATTATATATAAGGGTGTTTCATTAAGACGGATCAAAATCAGCAGTAAATAAATCAGTGTTGTTGGTGAAAATTTATTTATTTCTCTATTGGATCATGTTATTTAAGTCATGACAATTATGTGTGAAAAATAATATCGCCCAAATGTCCGCCAAATCTGAAAGAAAAAGAAAAAAATCATTAGACACTTAAACTTAATTCACATTTAAAATCGGTCCAAGTTATTGGAACACCCTTTATAAACATTATTTTTAGTGGTTAACCATATCTGAAAAAGAAATCAGGCAGGTATACTTGAATATAAGCAGCCAGCTATATTTACCGTACAGTTAAAAATGAAAAGGAGAAAGTTTCGTAAAAATCTTTTCTATCACAATTTCAACTCATTTAATATGTGCAAATTTAAAGCGAACTAGTATAATCTTATTAAACTTATCTGTAAGTGAAATGCATCAGAGCCTAATAAGGCAGCTCGATATTTTAACTATGTACTAAAATCTTCTAAAATTCTATTACTATCGTTTTTGGTTTCGCAAAAATAAATTCTTTTAAGAACGTTTTCCAGGGTTTCTTTCAATGTATCTGACAAAAGAATTTATATATTCTCCTCGGACGACTGAACCGTCTGGTGTGGGATGACTTTTCTTTAGGCAGCCCCTCTTTTAAAAAAATCAAGAACAGTCAGTTGATCGATTTGTTTTCTTACGGCCTATTAACCTTTTGACGCTTATTTAAAGTCAGAAAATATTTTTAGATTGTAAAGATTTTTTGGAGGTAATAATGATTTTTACTGATGCAAGTTCCACTAATTAATCTATAGCCATGATGTGAAGAAGTGAATTCATACCTTTCCCAAGAGTGCTTGCGCGTAATATAACGAACCCGACTGGAATTGGAACTCGGCGCTCTAATTTCCAAATCCGAGTCGTTATCCATTATACCAGTCCTTACAGCACTTCGCATTTCCAAGCAGTCACCCATCTAGGTACTGGCGAGGCTCAACTTCGGTGTTCGTACGAGAACCGGTGATATGGTCGTAAGCCCGGGAACTGTAACACCAGATAAATCGGATAGTGTAATGAAGTATCGTCGTACATCATGAATAAAACACGTGACTGCATCTCCTATATTAAGATTACATTCCTTTTTTCAGCTACCGTCGTGGTGCGTGCGTGCATGATAGAGAGAGAAAGAGAGGAAAAGAGAGAGCAAGAGTTTGTATGTTGCCCCAGGGTCCTCATCTGAACATGGGTCTTATATTCTCGTGCGATGTCTGAGACTGCTCTCTTTTTTCTCTTCTGTGGTCGGTGTTGATATATCTATCTCTTTTTTTAAGGAAAAAACTATGACAAACTTTCATGTGATGCATTTCGTCCTTTACACATATGCACAAAGGAAAGGGGAAGCTGTGGAGATGCAGAAAATTTCTTTTTTTTTCTATATGTTTTGGGTATATAGTCTAACCGATTTCATTAATTTTCTTTTAATTCATGTTTCCATCACTTTGTTAATATCCCACATTTTGATAACAGAAGATCTGTCAAGAAATGTGAAATGTTGTAAGACCCTTTACGTAAATTTACTGTGGATATTTCCGTTCGGGTTCTTACAACATTTCAATTTAAGATTTTCAGCATCCCCCTCTCCTTCGTGGTTATCTGTAGTCGCATCAACATAAACATCACTTTAATCCTAAAGGAAAAACGAAAATTTTTTTCCAATTTGTCATAGTTTTACCATTAAATTGTTTTTGGTATATAAAAATTTATATATCGTTTTCCCCATATCTATGTCTTACGTTTTTTTCCCACGTATGTCCATCACATGTTGAGGCAGCCACTGTCATCTTGTGAGGCACGGATCTGCACTTGGTGGGCGGGAGGTCATCTGTCAGATCAACCCGTCGATGCACCTGGCTTCTCCGACGTCACACAGAATAATCTGCTACAATAGATTTTCGATGCTTTCGGGACGCCTTATATTTCTTATGGAATACCTGGATTCTGTGGATTGCTACCAACATGTAGATGCTATAGTTAGGTATTTGTTAAAGGTCACCTTGATGGTAGTCAATGAGCTAACTTGTTCCATTTATCGAGTCCTGCGTGAGAAAGACAAATGTCAAACAACCGCTCTCGTCTATCGAAAATTAATGTGAGGTTTTAGTGGCTTACAACCAGGTGTCCCAAAAGCCACGAATTAGCTAAAATCTGTATTTTTCTGTCATCCGGTAAAATAAGGGGTGCCTGCTATAGAACGATAGTCAATAAGCTACTCTAGCTTGCATAGTGAGTTCGATCCTAACAAAATACGGCAGTTTTTTTTTCATAAGCTTAGTGCCTAGGTATATCATTATGTTTATATTAACCTCTTCAAGTCAAGGGTTGATCTTATCCTTATCCTCATAATATTCACTTCTTACTAATCCACCCTCATAAATATCTACCCTGAAAGACCTCAACCTCGTCATGTCTCACAGTGATGGTAGGTAAATATGTTTTTTTAGTGATTAACCTACAGACTTGTCAAAGTCAATGAAAATCAATCGATCTTTAGTAAATATGTGAACTCATACAAAAATTAATCTAAGAAATATTGAAGTGTCAAATGCAAGATTTTTATTTTGTGAATCTTGCTGGGTGGTGGTTTATTATTGCTTAAAAAACGGACATTTTAAAAGAGTGTATATTCACATAATATATGCATGGCGGTAAGGTCGAAGAAGAAGGACCAGACTGGATGCGACCAACACCCGAAGACTCCAACGGTGTAATAGGTAAAAATTCACACGTTCTTAACGTCCAGACCAGCGGAAGAGGGCAGTACCAGTATCGGTGGCCACGACCAGTCGGACTGGAGTAACGAAGGTGGACCTAGACAGACCAAGCATCAGGCAGCTGCAGAGTTGTCCACCAAAATCAAATTTACGCAGATGGCCTCACCAAATTCTTTTTGATTCACAGCTATCTCCGCCACCGCCACCAAGGGAGAGAAAGGGAATAGAATAAGGAGAGAAGGAGAATAGAATAGGGAGAGAAGGGGAATAGAATAAGGAGAGAAGGAGAATAGAATAGGGAGAGAAGCGGAATAGTATAGGGAGAGAAGGGGAATAGAATAGGAAGAGAAGCGGAATAGTATAGGGAGAGAAGGGGAATAGAATAAGGAGAGAAGGGGAATAGAATAAGGAGAGAAGGGGAATAGAATAGGGAGAGAAGCGGAATAGTATAAGGAGAGAAGGAGAATAGAATAGGGAGAGAAAGGGAATAGAATAAGGAGAGAAGGAGAATAGAATAGGGAGAGAAGGGGAATAGTATAAGGAGAGAAGGGGAATAGAATAGGGAGAGAAAGGGGATAGAATAAGGAGAGAAGGAGAATAGAATAGGGAGAGAAAGGGAATAGAATAAGGAGAGAAGGAGAATAGAATAGGGAGAGAAGGGGAATAGTATAGGGAGAGAAGGGGAATAGAATAGGAAGAGAAGATAACGATCCAGATCTTCAACAATACAAATATATTAAAACAAAGGGAGAGAAAGAGCAAGGATAAGGAAAAATACTGTAAATTGGCGAATCGAAAAATATAACATAAAAGAAGCAACAACAGAAAGGTAAACGGTTATCGCTCCCAGCGCTTCAGACCTCAATCGAGGACAAAACAACACAGCGGCTAAAAGAGGGGGGACAGGAAAATACTTGCAGAAATTCAGCAATATAAATTGTAGATTACATTTAAATCCAGCAACTATTCCCTCTATTTTTACAGAAGGAATGTTTCTTAGAATTAATATATAGTGTCTCAGACACTTTCAAATCGTAATTTAAATGAGCTCTGCTAACTACTGTGTAAAAAATCTATAGTACAAGACTAGGCGCAAATCGGATTACTTTTTAGGTGTTTGTTTTTAAAACCACAGTAAAATTCATTTATTGCAAAGTTTATTTGAGTTTCAAGCTTGTTCTAATTTAAATTTTCTCGATTTATATATATTGATTTTTTTTTAATCATTGAACCCCAAGCAAGTCAATAATGCTACTAGGGATAACTGAGAAGGAAAGAATATGAGAAAACGTTAGCGAGGAGAAAGGAAAATAAAAGAACTAGATTCAGAAAGACAGATGGCGATTGATGTTGCATTTAAATTTCTGAAGATTCTAGTTGACAGAAAAGCAAGAAGTCCAAAGAGAGTGCCACAAATAAGAATTGTGAGAGTTGTAACTATTAGAATAGAACTTATGTTTACATTTGAATTCATTAGGTCGAGGTACCAAAGAGAAAAGTTCATTAGAACAATTGTCATGAAAATATTTATAGAAATTACGCAAGGAAGCTGCATTACGGCGGTGGGAATGTAACTGAAGCCGAGAAGCCATATCAGGACCGATAACATTACAGATCCTTCTTTGGATTTTTGTTAAGCATCTCGAGATCTAGAGTAGGAACACTGAACCAGATGTGACAGCAATATTCGACGCGCGAACGAATGGTAGATTTATAAGTATGCAAGATGGATTCTGACGAGAACAATTCCGACTTTTCCTTTCAAGTTCTATATTTTACTTTTTTAATATTTCGCGAATCTGTTTCCAGTCATTATATTTGCCCAGCCAGATGAATAATTCTTCTTTAAAATTAGTACCATGAAACGAAGTACTACCACCGCTATTTGGGAAGAAATATGCGTCGTTAAATAATTTGGAGACGCCATGAATGACCCAGCATAGCATCTCGACAATTTCATAGATGTCTCGTTATTCATTGAACAAAATGCTGCTGCGGTCTATGTACGTTCATGATTACTCAGGAACAATTTGGCAAAATGCCAACTAAATTGGTTCACAAGATGAATGTAAAGATGGTTTCAAATTAGGCTTTTGGTGGCATTTTCAAAAATGTTTTACTAGTTTTAATCGATTTTCTGTGTTGTACCACAAGAATTATTTTAAAAGAACAAAGGCCTATATATATTTAGAATCATAGTAACATGCCATCACCAAGAGGAGTATCGAGAAGGTTGACTTTAAAGAATGATAGAAACTTATTTTTCCGATAAAGATCAGTGACTAGGCGCCAACACAGATGATTGGCTGTAAAGAATATATATAGTAGCAGTACAGCAGTCTAGTAACAGCTGACTGGCGCCGTTACAAATCCATGCTTTCAAAATGAAACTCTCGTTTGCTTTTTTGCCTTGCCTAATATGGAAGGTTACCGACCCTAACGAAAAACGCTCCTCTACTTTCAGAAACGTAGATATTCGGACTATGCTGTTAACGAAAGGAGTACCTTTTCATAGCTGAAATTTTATTACTGCATTCCTATTTTATGGAGTAAATATTTCATAAAATTTCAGCTTGTTTTATATCTTTTTTTTTTAAAATATTGTATGGTATAGTTAACTCTTCGGTAGATATACACGCTCCTTAAATTGTAAAACTCACGGGACGTTCAAGATTTTTTAAATGCCCGAATGAATAAAATAATCGTAGTCAGACCAAAATGATCAAGGGAAGCATTTAAAATGTGCGGTCACGTTCTGGATTAGGTTTAAAGATAATGGTTTTGAGGGAACGTTGAAGTTATGGCATGTTTTGAGCTGTTGTGGGAGAAAGTGGGGTAACGGTTATTAGTGTGAAAATCGGAAGTGGCAAACCGATGTCGACTTCCGGCACCATTAACAGTTGCATATTTATCGTATTATGGACCAGTAAATCTCAAGTACATTCACTTTTTATTCTCGTGTCCATATTTTTTTTTTATCAATTCATCCCAAACAAGGCGATAATACCAATCTGATGCAAGGGGCTACTGGGAGTGAAAAAAATCGAAATGACTTTAAAAGAACTGGAAACCCAATCCTAAACATAAAATAAGGGATAAATCTCTACTCATGTTTAAAAGACGAGGGAGGAATGCGAACCGGACGATAGGTGAACCTATACAAGGTGCGATGAATAAGTTGTCGTCTGAATTAGGCAAAAATGAAAATAACACTGACATCTCATTTTAACAGATATATTTACCAAAGTTACACATGAATATCTTGAAATACTAAAGAGTAAATTTATTCAATAAAATTGCCATTGGCTTCAAGCACGTCCTCCTGATGTCTTCGGAATCTCCTGGAACTCTTCTGGACGGTCTCTTTATTTAAGTTGGTGAATGCAGACATAATTGTCTCCAGTTCATCTTTGGTGTTACATGGAGTTTTATCGATCTCTCGCTCTACTCCGCCCCACACATAATAATCAAGGGGGTTGCAGTCTGAGAAGTTGGGTGGCCAGATGCAAGGGGTGATGTGGTCACAGAAATTGTCTGACAGCCATGACTGGATTCTCCTACTTGTGTGGCATGGTGCATAGTCTTTTTGCCAGATATAGGGTTTCCAGCAGCCACCCTCTTATGCAAGGGCAGCACTACCCTCCCTCAAGGCACTTGATGTAGGCCTGCGTGTTGAGTCTGAGGCCATGTGGGAAGATGAATGGAGGCATAACATTGCCATCACTCGTGATCACACCAAGCACCATGATGTTGACTGGATACATCATCCAACTCTTTCGAATTCCCTGCACTGTCCTCAGGTTGACACCCAAACACTCTGAAATGTTTTCATTGAAGCTTCCGGTACGAATACCAAGCAGTATAGCATACCGTTTCCAAATTTCTGGCGGAGTGAATTGCGTTATGGTGCTCTTTTTCTCGTATAGGGTGCCCAACTGACCCTACTATAATGTGCAGTCGACAAAATCAAAAACAAACAACGCACATGCGCGAAATTAAAAATATAAAATGGCGACAATTTTACCAATCGTACCCTGTATATATTTCTTGAATGTGTGTGCATGTTTCGGGACTTCTATTTCTTTCATCAGCCTAAATTTATATTAGTTAAATTTTTAAATGTTTAATTTTATCGCACTTCTCGCTCTTTCGGTTTCTTGCTTCCCAATAAACTTTGACCCTCAAAAATTTAAATGCAATGTCAATTTTTATCTTCTGTTTTCTTTATTTTTGTTATTTTATTGTCCTCTCTCATCAATAGTAGTTTTTTTCATATTCTCTAACACTCAGAAAAATTTTGCGTCCTTTATTGCCTTGACTGAAGTGAAATGATTTTAAAAATGTTAAAATACAAAAATATAATACAGACTATAAAAAATACAATACAGACGAACAATAATTCAAAATTCATAGAAAGGGGAGATAATTCAATAAAAACTGTTAGTTTCGGTTTACAATTTAGCATATTTCTCATTAATATAAACGTTATACTTTAGCGCATACACGTGTTTGAGTAGACGTCTCTGCTATTTCAAACGGTGTAATTATCGTTTACCGACCAGGGCTTTTGAGAGTCTTTAATAAAGAGAGTGTGTCCTTCGACAGGATTCGGGCATAAGCCCCTCTAACCTTGCGTGCTTTTCGACCACTCAGCCATGAAGAACTTTACGGCGAATAAAGGCTCAATTGCCTTTTTCAAGGAATGCTTTCGAAGCTGATATCTGTTAATTTTCTTTTCGTATGCGAAACGTAAACAATGTAATTTCTAAGAAATTGATGGAATCCGACATGTTTTATTACTATAAACATTATATTTAAGTTGATACACGCTTTTGAATAAACATCTCTGCTGTTTTTTTTGTTTTGTTTTGTTTTGTTTTGTTTTGTTTTTTAATAACGCATATATATTCCATAAATTTGCACTCTCTAATTCAGATAGCCAATCTGATACGTCGGTATATTCTCTCAAATGGTATAAGGATTTTAAACGATTTAGTGAACTATAAAAAAGTGACTGACGCCATTAGCATTCATCTTACAATATTTGGTTCAAAAGCCTTTCCTTTTTCATATAAATTTCTCATATATAAAAAAGTGACAGACGCCATTAGCATTCATCTTACAATATTTGGTTCAAAAGCCTTTCCTTTTTCATATATATTTTTCATATATAAAAAAGTGACTGACGCCATTAGCATTCATCTTACAATATTTGGTTCAAAAGCCTTTCCTTTTTCATATATATTTTTCATATATAAAAAAGTGACTGACGCCATTAGCATTCATCTTACAATATTTGGTTCAAAAGCCTTTCTTTGTTCATATATATTTTTCATATATAAAAATGTGACTGACGCCATTAGCATTCATCTTACAATATTTGGTTCAAAAGCCTTTCCTTTTTCATATATATTTTTCATATATAAAAAAGTGACAGACGCCATTAGCATTCATCTTACAATATTTGGTTCAAAAGCCTTTCCTTTTTCATATATATTTTTCATATATAAAAAAGTGACTGGCGCCATTAGCATTCATCTTACAATATTTGGTTCAAAAGCCTTTCCTTTTTCATATATATTTTCATATATAAAAAGTGATTGACGCCATTAGCATTCATCTTACAATATTTGGTTCAAAAAGCCTTTCCTTTTTTCATATATTTTCATATATAAAAAAGTGACAGACGCCATTAGCATTCATCTTACAATATTTGG